CCACCAAAAGACTTCTAGACTTAATTGACACTTTTAGTATAGTAGCTGGATACAAGGTCAACACCCAAAAATCAATAGCCTTCTTGCACAGAAATAACAGACTCACTGAGAAAGAAATTCGGGAATCAATTCCTTTCACAATAGTACCCAAAAAAATGAAGTATCTGGGAATCAACCTAACAAAAGAAGCAAAAGACCATTGCACTGAGAACTACAGCACTCTGAAAAGAGATTGAGGAGGATTTAAGAAAATGGAAAGATGTCCCCTGCTCCTGGGTAGGAAGAATCAACATATTGAAAATGGGCATACTACCACAACTGCTAAACAGATTCAATGCAATGCCAATTGAAATCCCAACACTTTATTTTACAGAACTAGAAAAAAGAATTCAAAAATTCATTTGGAATCATAAGAGATCTAGAATAGCAAAAGCCATCCTAGGCAACAGACACATGGCAGCGGGTATAACAATTCCCAATTTGAAACTATACTACAAAGCCACTGTGATAAAAACAGCATGGTACTGGCAAAGAAGCAGACCTGAGGATCAGTGGAAAAGATTGGAAGACACAAAAACAAATCCAGATACACTCAGCTACCTCATCTTTGACAAAGGAGCTAACCATCCTCAGTGGAGGAAAGATAGCCTCTTTAATAAATGGTGTTGGAAAAACTGGATCTCAACCTGCAAAAGATTAAGATTAGACCCTTATCTGTCACCATGCACTAAATTAAAATCCAAGTGAGTTAAAGATCTAAACATAAAAACAAAAACACTAAACTTGCCAGAAGATAAGTTAGTCAGAACTCTGGAAGACATTGACATAGGAAAAGACTTTATGAACAAATCCTCAATAGCACAGGAACTAGCAGAAAGAATCAACAACTGGGATCTCATCTTATTAAAAAGCTTCTGCACTGCAAAAGAAACCATCAACAGAACTAAAAGACAACCTACAATGTGGGAAAAATTTTTTACCAGCTACTCCTCAGACAAAGGACTATTATCTAAAATATATAAAGAACTCAAAACAACCAGCCCCCCCAAGTATAAAGACCTAATTCAAAAATGGGCATCTGAAATGAACAGACATTTCTCAGACAAAGAAATAAAAGCAGCAAGTAAACATATGAAAAAATGCTCCACATCAGTGATCATTTGAGAGATGCAGGTGAAAACAACACTGAGATTTCACCTCACCCCACAAAGAATGGCTGCTATCAAGAAATCACACAATAACAAATGTTGGCGGGGTTGTGGGGAGAAAGGAGCCCTTCTCCATTGTTGGTGGGAGTGCAGACTGGTGCAACCACTATGGAAGTCAATATGGAGATATCTCAAAGAACTAAGATTAGAGGTTCCATTTGACCCAGGCATCCCTCTGTTGGGTATCTTTCCAAAAGAAGTGAAAGAATCATACTACAGAGATATATGTACACCTATGTTTATAGTGGCACAGTTTGTAATAGCTAAAACTTGGAAACAGCTCATCCTCCCATCAATTGGAAACTGGATAAAGAACATGTGGTTTTTCTACAAAATGGGATACTACTCAGCCATAGAGAATGAAAAAGTAGATTTATTCATAGTTAAATGGGTATATTTTGAGGATATACGTCTAAGTGAAATAAATAAGGCACACATATGCAAATACCAAATAGCATCTAAAAACTAAATTAGTACTCAAGATCCTAATAGGACACTTAGCAAATAGGAAGAAAAGGACCAAAGGTGTAGGGACAGTGAGAAGGATAGGGAAGGGGGAATAAGGGAAAAGGAAAAAAATATGAGAAAATGTAAAAATGGAATTAAATTGTTTGAAGGGTGGAGGGGAGGGGAGGTTGAAGGGATGGTGGGGACAAGGGGAAAAAATGAGAACCAAGACCTGATATATAAAGGTGCAAGATCCCAGTAATGAATGTAACTATACTGTCTACCTAGAATGTACCAATAAATTAAATTTTTAAAAAAGAAGAACAAGACAATATCTTTATAGTCCTAGAGTAGCGTCATGATTTTTTGTTTAATACACCTCAAACACTGTTCTAATTTTATAGCTTAAGTGTTTCTTCTCAACTGGGGAGAAGCCAGAAGCAGCAGTTAACTCTCAATCCTGTTTTCTTTACTGGGACTTGATCCTCAGCTTTTAAACTCCCTTGGGACAGATAGGTTATCTTGAATCTTTTGATCTTGGACATCTGCCTAAACTGCCTGGAACCCAGGTTCTGCATGACATTGTAGGGGACCCTTCTCAGAGGTTCTGGTAGCTGCGAGAACCTCGGGACTTAGGCTTTCTCCAGACTACGTTTTCCTATCTGTGTAGGCTCGTGTTTCATACGTTAAGGGCAGGCACCCAGCTTTATTAATGATTTATAAATGCACCTACATGCATACAACACATTTTAACACTGACTTTTATTCACAACATGCATTTCTTACTTTGGCAACATCACTCAATATTCTGGACATAATAAGCGGAATCACCTTATATTTTATTTAGCCTTTTGTCATCTGACTACCTCTCCTCTCCTCTTTCTTCTCCTAGATTAACAGGTCTATTATTTTTATATCTCACATAGAACATTTTTACCCATTTTCAGGTCCCCGAAGATCTCATCTTCTACTCTGAATCACTTTGGAATTTTGTGGTTATTTTTCAATTTGCTGTGAGTATGTGAGAGAAACTCTGATGGAACTTATAATAAGATTTTCTACCTCATTGTGTGTGTGTATGTGTGTGTGTGCGTGTGCGTGCATGTGTGTGTATATATATATTAGAAATACTTACATTAATAATATGTTTAAAATAATAATAAATATGTATAAATACCTATATGAGTAATAACATGTGAAATACATATCAGACCCATATAAACAATACACATAAATGTATCACAGCTGTTTAGAGTAAAATGTGTGGAAAGAGAGTTAATCTATTTGAGCCAGATTGGGAAAAATCTCTAAAAAACTGGAACGTGCTTAAGGCCTGGGATTTGGGTCAGTGGTTCCACTGCCTCCCTTGTAAGCACAAGGGCTCAAGTACAATCCCAGGTACCCCCCCAAAATGGAATGTGCTTAAATGTATCACTCTTCAAACAATTAAGAGTTATCTGCTAATTTTTTTGTTTCAGACAGGGTCTCACTATGTACTTGAGACTGACCTGGAACTCACTATGTAGCCCAGGCTGGTCTTGAACTCACAGTGATCCTTCTGCCTCAGCCTCCTGAGTGCTGGGATTACAGACGTGTGCCACCTTAAAGTAAAGGCGTTGCAACCGTGTAGTGAATCTAAAAGTATCAGAGTAGTAAAAAGTTAATTTCCCTCAGTATCTGTAAAATGCCACTCTCTTTAAAGAAATCTTCCAAACAAAAACCCATAAAGTCCCTCTGCCAGTATGACATAATCGTACAATCTTTCTGTGCATCTCATAAGTATATTCGGGATACAAGACTGTCACTGTGCAACCCTTAAGAGGAACTACGTAGGTCAAGAGGGTCATGTGCTTCAGGGCGGTCAGGTGATATGGAAACAACTTCAGGAGAAGAGTAGGAAATAGAGGAATCACTCTCCCTGCATGGACGGCCACCCAAGCCAGATACCACCGAAATACAACAACAAAGTTATGTGACAGGCAGGAACAATTAAGCATTTGTTTTATAAAACCAATTTCCAAGTAGGACTAAAATCCCATGTTAGAGAATCCTAAGCAAATTGGGTTGCCCTTCAATACTAAATGCAATCAGCTGATGAACAACTACTAGCCCTCCCAAATTTATTTCATTTTGGAAACCAACTTTCTTTTCTTTTTTTACATTTTTAAATAAATAACAACTTTAAGTAAAAGTAGAGTAAATAATACTAAGTAAGAGGACAATACATACTCATGGCAATTTATAGAAATGATGCATTTGAATTGCAAGATTTCACAGAGTTGATGTTTCCTGTCTTGCTGTGTGGTCTTCAGAACTTCCTCTGGCAGACACTGACACCATTTCTTATATCTCATAATATACAAGATTGTTATTGTTGTCATCTTTATTTGTTTTTGTTTTTTGAGACAGGGTCTCACTATATAGTGGAAACTGACCTGAAACTCACTATGGAGCCCAGGCTGGTCTTGAATTCACAGTGATCCTCCTGCCTCAGCCTCCCAAGTCCTGGGATCACAGGCGTGCACCACCATGCCTGGCTGTTGTCATCTTTATAAAATGGCATGAGGCTACATTCTGCATGACTTAATGTTCATTCATGGATCCAGGAGGCAAAGTACCCAATGAAGCACATTGTAGAAAGGCCTGACTTCCTGTATGGCTTCTGGCAATAGCATCCTTGAGTGACTGATCATGAAGGAGACTGTACCTCTTCCTGTCCATTATTTTATATTTTCCACATTCTCATCCTACTTTTTTTTTTTTTTTAGGTACCAGGGATTGAACTCAGGTCCTTGAGCTTGCAAGGCAGGCCACAGAACCGCTGAGCTAAATCACCAGCCCCCTCATCCTACTTTTGAGTATCTTACTCTGTGCTGTTGAATATATTTTTCCCTGTGTGACTTTGCATAACAGGAAAAAGATAGATGGGATTCTTTGAAACTGGCCAGTTTCAGATTTTCTTGAACTGTCAAATTTCTGGAAGTCAGTTCTTTTCTCCATTTCCCATTTACAAGTAAATTACCTTTTCTACTTATCTTCATGATAGGCATGCAAAGCTTCAGAATGTAGACCATGTTATTCATACATGGAATGGTGTAAGTTTATCCGATTTGAAAAAAAATGTAGCTTCAAATGAGTTTTGTTAATAAGAAATTTTTGTCACTAAGAAGTGATTAATTACAGAAATCCCTCAACCCTTTTGAGTTATTACATGATGAGAGAATATAACTTCTTATAACAATAGCAATAGTCTTTTCCTGCTGCCATAACAAAATACTTTCAGATGAGTGATCTGAGAGAGTAGAAACTTACTTCTAAGTACAAAGTCAAGGTGCTGGCGGGTTTTGGTTTGGTGACTGCCCCATCTCTGCTTCCAAGATGATGTCCTGTACATGATATCCTCACATGATGGGAGGGAAGAAGGGAAGAAATGCTGTGTCCTTGTATGGCAAAAGAGATGCAACAGTAGGAGGATGTGTAGGGCCTGCACAGTTCTCTCTAGACCTTTTGCAAGGCACTAATCACATCCAGGAGAATAAAGCCTTCATACCTTAAATTTCCCTAAAGTCTATTCCTCTTAGTAATATTAGTTTGGGGACTGACTTTCAATACGAATTTTAGAAGAGACAGAAGTATGAGATCCATGGCTACAATTTCATAAAATGTAATAAAAATAAGTAGCCATGTGTTTTATCTCTCTTACGAGTGATGTCTGAATTTGTACATTGGAAGGATGGAATTACTGTATGGAATTTCAGTACTTATTTATTTATTTTAAACCAAACTTTATTGAAAACTGACTTTCAAATAGTTTTTGTTTCTTTTAAATTAAGTAGAAAAATCATACTTACAATAAGGTGCTATTGCCATGTTACTTGACATCTTCGCTCCTAGAACTATGATGTCTGATTTTAGCTCATGACCGAAAAGTACTAGAAAAATGGGGAGGATCAAATGACCTAGTTAAAATTTATGTTATACTACTTCAAAGATTTATGCGAAAAAAGGAAACCTATCAAATTTGCATTAAATTTGATACAGCGATATTTTATTTTAATTGGTTGTAAAATTCGTTTTCACATTGTCTACATCAGTGGCTGGTTTTACTCATGCTCAATGAGGTTGAACCCCACATTTTATTTCCTGTAGTCCTCTTTTATCTCACTCATAGTGGGCTCCCAAAACTAAGTTGGAAATAACAACTGATATGAAAATAGAATAATTACAAAACCTAGCGTCATAAAATTTTCTGCATAATTACAAGAGTAGTATACAGGGAATGCTCTGGGGTCACTACTAAGTAAACTAAAGATCATTTGAACACAAGCACTGTGAAGCTACAATAGTTGTCTTGACAACTAAAATAACTATTTTGTGACTAACAGGTAAGTAGCATATAGTGTGGTTTCTTTGAACAAAGGAACAATTTACATTCTGCTTGCGATGAGGCATGATAACATGAGATTCTGTCATGCTATTTGGAACAGTGCACAATGTAAAATTTTTGAATTGTTTCTAGAATTTTTCATTTTCTATTTTCAGATAATAATGTATGTCTATTTCTGATTACTATAATGAAATACTTGAGGATGGATAACTTTAACAAAGTTTTTGTGGTTGTTGTAGTTGTTTTTTACTGGAGATTTAACTCAGGACCTTGCCTTTGCTAGGGGAGGTGACAGAACCATTGAACTAAATCCCTTTTCCAGAGACTGGATAGTTTTAAAAGGAAATAAGGTTCACATAGCTTACAGTTTTGGAAGCTGAAATTTCAAAATCAGACCTCCACACATGTTTGGACTCTGATGAGGGCCTAGTGGTGGATGGCACCATGACAGGAATGATAAAAAGAGATCCCTTTCTGAAGACAAAGTGAGCGAGAGAGAGAGAGAGAGAGAGAGAGAGAGAGAGAGAGAGTGGAGAAAGGAGAATAAGGGGGACACACATAGAGAGAGGGGTAGAGAGACCAAAGTGCCTTCCAAAGGCACAAACCCATTGACCTAAGAATAGTTTATGAGATCCTCACCTATTAAATAGGTGACAACACCTTCCTACACTGCTACCCAGGGACCAAACTTCTAACACATAAATACTTGAAGAACAAATAATATCCAAATTATCATACACGGTTAACAGTGAGTAACTGAAAACTTGGAAGCTAAACTACAGATAAGTGAAGGCTACATACAGTACAGTTTTATTTCAAGAATTTCAATAATGGAATGATGGAAAAGTCAGTCAAAGGTTCAAAAATGCCCTTGAATAATCCAAAATAGGAACCCTTAGCTAATGTTTTGTATTTGAAAGAAGGCTTGCACAAAACTGAAGAAATGTTTATTTTAATGCTATAAAAATGACTGTATCTTCTGAAGAAAGTAATTCTTGAGTCAGGTATAAAAAGACTGAGAGAAAGGAGAGAAATAAATGTATTTTAACTTAGTTATATGGTCATGAGATGTAAATGAGTTTGATAGCATAACAAGTTTTGCAGTAAAATTGAAGACTTTCAGTTTGATAGTGTAATTGCATTCTTTTGCTAAAAATAAACCATCTTTTGTTGAATTATTTAGCTAGGTTTGAAGCATTTAAAGAAAAGTAGAAGCTATAGGGTTTTTCTTTGGAGATTTACCTTAAGAACCTGCTCGAAAGGGTAGAATTAGAGGCAAGGCAGGTAGTGAGACGTGCACGGGCCAGTAAGGAGATGACCGAGAAAGAATTCTGAGCACACAAAATCTCTAACATGTTTGAGAAGAAAATTTTATCTTCTGGCCATTTGGCAGTAAATAAGTTAAAGCTTTTACAATGGAGTGTCTTTTTTAGTCTCTTGTACCACCTAAAAGGGGAATCTGCTTTCCCCTCTACTTCCAATTGAGATTTGGGTAGGTTGAGAAACAAAACAAACAAGAAAAACATCATCATGGACTTCCTTCTGCCTGGTGGTTTAGGTTTGCAGAAGATATATTCATTAATAAAAATGCATGTACAGTTTTATGTGTATATATGAATATATGGTTTATCTGTACATGGTTATACACACATATTTATGTGTAGCTATATAGAGAGAGGCAACAGAACTGGATAGATAGGATCTCTAAAATGCCTGTTTGACAAGATGAGAAATTCTGGGAGCAAGGAAATAAATAACTTTCCTGAAAGAGCTCTGCTTTCAGCCACCACTAAATGTGCTTTATTCCACATGTTGCAGCTCTATTTCATTTTCTCGGGGGTTCCTGGGAGGTAGCAATTGCTATTTCCATGAATGAAAAGTTTCTGAAGGTGAATAGTTTATGTAGGAAGCAGGCTCAGTAGTGAAACCAAGTGAAGAAACCTGGACCACCCTTCCAGTCCCCACTCTCCTCCAGTCTCCCACGGGGGGAAACTGGGTGGATCTAGCACCCTTTGGTATGGCTCTGTCTGCACCGACACTCAAGCCTGAAACTCAGCCCACCATAGCAGTTCCTGCTCACACAAGTAATACCCATCACTCCACATGCGGCTTTGGCCACATATGTATAAGGGAAGTGCGTTGTTCAGTGTTTGCTGAATGAGGAAAGCTAAATGTCCAAGTGGACTTCTCCAAGCTGTCGATTATCTCTAGAGTCTAACACTATTCTTTAAACATTGATCTTATGCTTGCGTATAATTTAGTCAGTATTGTATATGAACATCTGACATTTCTAAAATGAAAGTTGAAACTTAAAATGTGAATGAGCACTTTGTGGTTCCCAATCAAAACTATACATAGAATCAGGTACAATCATCTCTTTTAAGAATCACTTTAATGTTACACTCTTGTAACTATCTCATAATGCCAAACATCTATTCAGGCATAACAAATAGGAATTACAGTCAACAGTGTGGCTGTGATAGCTTCCAGGGAATTCTCCCTTCCTTGTGGATCACTGCTACATCCTTTACTCAGTACATATCTATGGAAAGCGACAGGTGACCCACAACTGTGCCCTATACCTCAAAGAATTTATAAACTTTTAGGAAGATGCGCTTGGGAATGTGCAGAAAAATAGGCAAAAGTAGCCACATGCTTGTGTGTGCAGTGCAAACTGGGTAAGTTTCTGTAGATGTAGTTAAGCTGTTAGGTTTCTTGGTTGGTTGGTTGGTTTTCTTGCTTGTAGCTTCTGTGATCTAAATGTTTGTATCTCCCCAATCTTATGTTGAAAGCTAACACTCAAAGGTATTGAGATGAAGAAAGGAAAGAAGGTAAAAGAAAAAAATATGAGAAAAGAAAAAATGGAAACAAAATCTGTAAATAGGAAAGGGTGAAGGGGGTGAAGGGAGGGAAGGGGAATGGAGAAAAAATAAGAGCCAAGATCTATCATGTAAAGATAGAAGATCCCAATAATGAATGTAACTGTATTGTACGCCTAAAATGTGCCAATACACTTAATATAAAAGAAAAAATATATACAAAGAGAGAGAGAGAGGGAGAGAGATGAGAGTTTTGGGAGGAGTTTAGGTCATGAGAGAAAAAGTCATAGAATAAATGCCCGCCATGGTTTCGATACGCTCTGAGTATGTTCCCAAATGTTACTCTTCTAGAAGCTCAATGAGGCAGTGTCTAGAGACGGGCTGCATTTAAGAGGGGAACCTACTCTTCCCCTCTTAAGAGTGATAAGGTGATAAGAGCGTCGGAGTCCCTGCCTCAGAGGCAGATTAATGGATGCTTGAACTTTGAACAAGACTGGTTTGAAATGCTGGGTCAGTTTATACATATTTTGTTGTTTTTGTTAAGATTTGTGATAACATTTAAAAATTGCCGAGATAGACTATGTAACTTAGAAAGATTTTACAGCAGAAAAAAAAGTGAGGTATGCCACGAATGTATAAAATATATACAGATAGTCTGTTATTACAAAATATATACAAACGTGTTACAGAAAGTTTAAATTTATCAAAGCTCATATACATGAAACAGACAAAATATAAGGAACCCTTTAAGTAAAATGTAAACTTAAAGATACAGTTTTAAATCACAAATCCAAAAAATTAATTATCGTATACACTGTACTATTGTAATAACTGTAAAACTTTCTCCTGTTGCTATTGAGATACACTCGAGGCTTGCGAGTATACAATTAAAACACTGTGTGATGTTAATCATCTTCACACAAGAAGTTCATTTCAGCTGCCTTATGGTTTGGATCTAAAGTAGCCCCTCAAACCACAAAATGGCTTTGGAAGTGATTGGCTCATGAGAGCACTGACCTCATCAATGGATTAAGCCATTGGTCGGTTCATTGCTACGTGGGCCACTAGGAGGGAAGGTGTAGCCGAAGGGAGGGCGTTGCAGGGGCACAACCTTGGGAACTTTATCTTGACCCTGGCGCTTTCACCTGGCTCGTTTTCACTGTTTCTGCTTCCCAGTTACCATGAGGTGAGCAGCTGTTCTCCTTGCCCTTCTACCTTAGCAAAAGCAAGGGACCCAGATGAGCACAGACTAAAACCTCTGACCCTGTGAGCCAGTATAAAACTTGACTCCTACAAGTTGATTTCTTAGGTATTTTGTCACAGACATAAAAATCTATCTTCTCAAGTAAATTGTATAGGATAAGAAAAAGTTATTGTTTGTGTGTCTTAAATGTTTTTCACCATGTATATTATACATACAATACAAAATATGCTTTATTTGACAGTTTGTGAAATGTTAGTAAAGATTCTGGACAACAGCAGCCTAAGTTGTTAAGTTTTAGGGGAGTCAAAGTTATACATGGACTTTTTACTCTGGGATAGAGAGTCACTGCCACAAACTCCGAGTTGTTTGAAGGTCACCATCATCCTGATGAGAGTCCAGTTTATTCTCTCAAGTGTGAGTTGTCATAAAGAATGGAAACCTGGACCCTGAGTCACTTCACATCTCCTAATTATCATGTCATCTCCTAAGCATATTCTCCTGCCATTGTGATGCCAAATGCCAGGAGACTCTCATCAGAATTAGAGTGAATGTAAGCTAAATCATCCTCTTTCCTTTATAAAATACCAGCCTCAAACATTTTATTGGGGTAAAAGAAAATAAATTAATCCAGTGCCATTATAAGAGGCTCAAGAGAGCCTGTTTTCTCGTCTCACCAGGTAAAGATTTTGCAAGAAGTCTTCCTTTATGAAGTAAAGAGCCTTCACCAGACCCTGAATCTATTGGTGATTCGATCTTAGGCGTCTTATCCTTCTGAAGTCTGAGAGATAAATTCTATCCTTAATAAACCACTTGGTCTATGTATTTTTACAGCAGCAGGAATATACTAAGACAGTGGGTGTACGAACAGTCACTTTCCTCCAGCCTCATACTCCACTGTCAGAAGTCCAGGGCCGTTGAGACTTATTTCCTAGCTGGGTGTGTTTCCACTTGCCTGCAACCGCAGCACTTAGAAGTCTGAGGTAGGAGAACTGCTGTGAGCTCCTGGCTGCCACGAGTTGAGCATATTTCATTCACCACTCACTACCACCGTGCTGCTTCTGACTTGGACCCAGAAGGCTGTAGATCGCAATCTCCCGAGCCATGAACCTCCAACTCCTTCCTTTAAACCGTATGTCAAGTACTCAGTCACTGCAATGCAAAGCTGACTAATACAGCCCAGAATTCAATACAGAAGAATTTGCCAGAAACCTTTTGGTTTTACATCTCTACTACACGTTCCTCTCATAAGATAAAAGAAATGTAAGTGACTTTAAATGCCTGAAAGATTAGCTCTTGATTTCTACTCTGCAAGCTTGTTGACAGCCTCTATCTTCTTCCTTTAGAGCCTCTGTAGCTATTAACAATTGCTAAGCAATTCTGCACTCTTTACCATTTACTTCATGTATTTCTTATGAAGAGATACTGCAAACACAATGCTTTACCTCTTCCATTTGTACCACGATGCCTCACAGGTGGTAGTGGTGACAGCAGGGAAACTGATGAACTCAGCCTGCCTTTCTTTATTTTGTAGACAGCAAACACCACACTCAGAAGTATTGCTTTATCCTATGCAATGAGTGACGCAGAGGCCTGAATGTGGCATCAAGCTAGGTTGTCGGGCAGAATCTTTAGGCTCTGCTACTTGTAGCTCTGCCTTTTAAATCAAATGACTTGAAGATCCCATGGCACAGGGGTATTTTTAATAGAAAAGGACTTTATATCAAATTTCTAGAAAGCCACAAGAAGAGCACAGAACAGACCTAATAGGAAGAACAATACCATATTATCTTTAGAAAAAAAAATGGAAAGTAGCAGTTAGCCCCACTAGAGACTAAAGCTGGGATATGGATTATTGAGTGATGAGAAGCAATGTCCATCCAGGGATGGACACTGTCAGGACAGCCAAACAGAAGTTAGGGCAAGCACACCAGCATATATCATACAATGGAAATAGCACATTTAGAACTGGATCTAACCAATTCCAGGGGCCATGAAAAGGTTGTACTAAGAGTTGGACAAGACTCTTTATCTCATGTATCTTCCCCTGATACTTATTCTTTAGCTTAAATCTGTGACCATGAAATGGGTGCTCTACAACCAGATGACAGAGAAGGTATAAAGTCTTGTACTGGCTCTTTGATGGGTCACGTAAATATGTCGCTTTGAGATGAAACATGAATTGATGACAATGAAAAAAATGAATGCCACATTCTCGCTTAAGGGTCTTCTTGAATACTACCATTGAAGGTAGAACTTTGAGAAACTTGTGTGGTCATGAACTTTGTATTGAAAGAGTAATGCCCCAATTGAAGATGAAGACAGAGTTCAGAGCGCTGGGTAATGACATGGCTGCATAGTCAGTTTTCTGGAAGAAGCAAAACCTTGAATACACTAAAAACTTCCATGTATGTAGAATAACCCAGCCAACAGGTGTAGGAAAACCTGACACCAATCACACCAACATGTATAATCAGACCATGAATTATCTTAGATACAAAGGCTGGAACAAATGAATGGGCCCAGTAACACAGATACCTTTTCACCCCAATTAGGCTTCTTCCGCAGCTAATGGTTCAAACCTTGAATAATACCTGGAGTGATATAAAATCTTGAAGAGGCCAAGGAGCTCTTTTGAATTGGGCATTCTCATAACACACAAAAGATGTATGATTTCTACATGAGGATGTTGGGCAGCTGCAATATACATTTACTTTTCTGTTCTCAGTATTTTAGTCAGCACCAAAGTGCAAAGGTGGATTAAAGATTACAATATTCTGCATAACAACATAGTATTTCCTCAGATGAAAGGACCAAATTTATAGGCAGGACCAGTGACCTTGGGCACTTGATCATAAGGTTGAGTCTTTCTAATACACAGTTTATAGTCATGACATTGCTTACATGATAGAGCATTCAAACAGCCTTTAAAAGATATACTAAGTTACTGATTAGGAATGGCAGTCTATAAGGTTGAATCCTTTAGGACATTGTATATGCTTATAACCCCAACAGTAAGAGTTCATAGGGTTAAAAACAAATAGGTAAAGGTTACCGTGGTCCTTTATACATCACTCCCAGTGGCTCACTGAAGAAGAATACTTCCTTTTCAAAAACTACAGAGTCTTATAATTAGAAATCATTGTTCGTGGTTGGGGATAGGGGAATAGGGGATTCCGTCTATCAGTAGAAATAATTAAGTTTCAGCTTAACATAAAATACTAAGATTGCCCTCTGATTATTTTGGATTCCCCATTCTTATAGACCTAAAACATTTATTACTATACTATCAAATATAATCATCCTTGACTATTATAAGGAAATTGGGTCTGCTGTTAAAAAATAATTGGAGTCATGAATACAAGGAGATTCTTGGGGTAGCATTAGGTTATTCCAAATTCATTGATAATCACGAGTAGGCAAGTAGTAATCACAGTTTCATAAGAAAACAGTAAGCATGAATTGATTCAAGAAGGAAAATCTGCACATAAAAGGGAACAAAAAGGGAAAAGAAAAAAATGTGAGAGAATGAAAAGATGAAAATAAAGTGTTTTTAGATGGGGAGGGGAGGAGGGGGTGAAGGGAGGGCAGAGGTAAGGGGAAAAAATGAGAATCAAGACTTGCCATGTAAAGGTACATGATCCCAACAATGAATGTAACTGTACTGTATCCCTAAATGTACCAATAAACTCAATAAAAAAAAAAAGGGTATCTTCGTTGTGTTCGAGGCCACCTTGAAGGGGGTAAAATGTGTGTGGTAGACACCTAAGGTTGCTATAACAAAAGACCACACACTGGATGGCTTAACAGCCATTTGTTTTTCACAGCTTGAAGGCTGGGAATATAAGAACAAGTTGACAACAGTCTCAATGTTTGGTCAGGGATTTCTTCTCAGCTTGTAGATGGTTGGCTTCCTTGCCATATCCTCACATAAGGGACAGAAGAAGCCCTAGTGCCTTTTTCTCTTACATGGATGTCCAGCCCATCATGTGTATTCTGCCCTCACCCTCATGACCTCTGAAATCATTTACTTCTCAGAGGCTCAACTTCCCAGTGCCATCACCTTAGGCTTTAGGGTATCAACATACAAATATTGGAGGATGCAAATTCAGTTCAAAATAAAAGTATACCTGCATTCATGTGGGCGCTCCCACAGAAGATTTGGCAGACTGAGGAACCAGGGCCAGGCCTTTTCCTTCTCTGTAACTCATTATACAAAACATCTGTGTTAGTCAGTTTTCCCCTTGCTGTTACAAAATACTTGACACCCACAGCTTAGAGGAGAGGTTTATTTTGGCTCACAGTTTGGGGTTCAGTCCATGGTCAGCTGGCTCCAAGACAGGAACATCATGGCTAAAGAAGGCTGCTATGTTTGTGGCAACTAGAAAATAGCGTAGGAGAACAGGGCCAAAGAAGAAAAAGCCAGTGAGCACATATAGTACCAAAAATCACGCCTACTTAACCAGCCAGATACAATCAGAACTGTGCTTTAGTAACCCTCTCAGTGGCTCTCAAATGAATCAATTTGACCATCCTGCTTAACTCTCACAACACCCCACTCCTCTATAGCCTCAAAAAGGGTAAAGATTTGAGCAAAGGGGAGGAACCAGTGCCCAGATGTGCACGTCATAGGAGTCATTCCTTCTGCATTTCCTTTTGTATTTGCTTTTTTGGAAAAAAAAAAAAAAAAAAAAAAAAAAAAAAAAAAAAAAAAAAAGAAGCTCAGTAAGGATGGATAAATCTAGCCTGGATGGTGGGAAAAGGAAGATTAGTACACTGAGATCAACGGCCATGGTTGAAAATATGGTTTGTCATATTGAATCTTCCTATCTCAATGTTTCTTGTTTGCGTTTTAAGAAATTTTGGCTGACAAGTAGCATGTGACTTTTGCATTAGATTTTTAGTGCTGAATAACAAAATAACATCATTTAGGGCCCTTAAAAATTATCTCACAATTCTAGAAATCAGAAGTCCAGAAAGACTGTCAAAATGAAGACATTACTGATCTTGATCATTTATATGGAGGCCCTGAGGAAGATCATCCTCAGAGTATACTCAGCTTGTTCAGGTATAATCTAGTTTGTTACCACTGCAGGACTGAGAAGCTGTTTTCTTTGCTGATTGTTGGCAACCAGAGGTGTGTTATAGCCTTTGAATCCCTCCTTAAATTCTCACATTAGGACTCTAACCCAGAGTAGCTCAGAATATAAGAATATTTGGAGATAGGGTCTTTAACATTGGAGTTACAGTAAAATGAGGTTGTATGGGTTGTTCCTGTCCAATATTACTAGTGTCTTACAGAAGAGGAAAGTTAAATACAGACATATCCATGAGGAAGACTGCATAAAGATATAGAGAGAAGATGACCACCATAAGCCCAGTAAAATATATGTCCACTTCCCGATCAATGAAACACAATATGCCCCACACCCACAAATTAAAGGAGGAGAGTTTTGCTTTGGCTGGTGTTTTCAGGATAGGCAGTCTGTGGTCAGCTCGCTCCATAGAAGAAACATAGTGATAGAAGGACGTGGCAAAGCAAAGATATTTAGTTCATAACGGCTGTGAAGCACATCATGGGGGACTCCAGAGAGGAGGGCTGAGGATCTAAACATAGACCCAAGGCCATGGCTTTATGGGCCACCGAGACACACCAGAAGCATGGTCTGCCAACCCTCTAGGTGGATCCCAAAGAAAGCCAGGTTGAACTATACCCTAACCACCACAGAGAGGAATCTTGGAAGAAGCTAGCCCTGTTAATATCAAGACTTCACAATCCCAACTTCCAGAATTGTGAGGAAAATATATCTCTGTTGTTTAAGCCACTTAGTCTACAGCAGTTTTCTAGCCCTGGAAAACTAATACAGGCAGCTTCCTGGTCCTTGCTTGTAGCCACTTCGTCTTTAAACCTGCAAACCAGCAACAGCACATAAGATCGTTATGTACTTCAAATCTGAGCTTTTAAGCACCAGCCAGGAAAAAAGAGTAAAATAAGCAAATAAACAAAAAGAAACCGCTGCTCTATTTCCCACATAACCACACCACAGGAAACAATTACACTAAACTTCTTTTTTATGGTGCCAAGGATGGAAGTTAGGGCCTTCTACTTGCTAGGTAAATACATTCCCACAGAGCTACATCTCCAGCCCGTCCACTAAGCTTCCTTCTACTGCACACAAGGAACATTTTCTTCATATTTTTAATATACACCCCTCACTTCCTTCTGAGCCCTTACCAGAAAAATAATCTTGAGATGTGTATTTCTACTTACAGTCAGTTGAAGACAATTCTCCATATACCTTTCAAAATTTATCTCCCATTTCTTCCAGCTACAATGATTTGGTTACAAAGCCAACTCTACATTTTTCCAAATTTGTTCCAGCCAATCTCTCCAAGCACCAAAACTGTCTGTGCCAATCGGAGTTCGACTAGCTATATAGAACCCAAACATTTATAGAATATGAAATATTGTATTGTTTTAGAGATACAAATAATGTGGTTGTGAGGACTGAAGAAAACAGTC